GTTGCACCAACCTCGACGGTCTTCCATTTCCAGTCCCCCCTTCCCCCTCCCGCGCAACCACTCACACTCACCACTCACCACTCGCTGCACCACCTTAGCTACCGACCGACCCCTCGATCCAGACCTACCTAGCCCGCATCCAAGCCCGCGATAGCTACCTATCGGTATCGGTACGTACCGGTCTGCGGCCACCATCGCAGCGGCTCGGTGCATCGTCGTTGGATTCAGCGAGACCCTTCGAGTGCAGCATCGAGACTCTGAAAGGTGTCGAGGCCGCGACTCGCCCTGCTTTCGTCCAGGCCTCGTCTGACGTATTGGCTTGGTTCCTCGTGCGCGGCAGTGCATCGCGTGTGGGCTTGCCGCACTGAGCGGCGGATATCCGACCTTTCGCCCAAACCCAGTGCTCCAACTGCTACCCTGCCTGGCAAGTTGCAAGTTACCCACGCAGCCAGCGCAACGGAGAGTGGACTGCAGCAATCAGCAATCGCTCGGCTCGCCCCATTCATACATCCGCGCCTTATCCCCTCTTTTGCTCCTCATCTCTGCCATCTGGTCATACCCTATCATTGCCGTCGTCGGCGCTTTGGAATAGCATCTTCCCACCTCGCCCGCGCCCTGACTGTTGCTATCGGCCGTGTGCCAAGTTTGTAGGAATAGGCTTCGACGGCGCCTGCACTGTGAGCGCTGAGAGTTGAGAGGCATACCTTAGCAATACGCCGCCCGTTGGCGGAGGAGAATTGCTGCATGCGCAATTGACAACAGCTGGCTGCCCCTCTTCTTCGAATTTGCGCCCTCAGGTGAGGTGCCCTGTCCTGGCCTGCCCCGTGCCCGCGCCCGCGCGTTTCCCAGTTGTTGGTGAGGAATCGGGCCGCCCCTCCACCGCCCAAATCCCCCCCCCGCCCATCCGCCATCCGCCATCCGCCTCCAGCTCAGGTCAGGTTAGTTATTGCGCACACTCTCGCCCGATCAACTAAGATCTCGCAAAAACAATGCCAGCTTCCAATTTGCCCGAGTTCCGCCACGCGCGAACTGGCAGCCTCAACATCCAACCCACGAGCGCCCGTTCCAATGGCATCATGAGCCCAGTTCCCGGAGGCCAGAGATTTGACGGGCCAAGGAGCCCTCCAAGTGAGTAGCCCCTTCCCAGGAGCCTTTTTGCCTGTCCCGCGCCCTCGTCCTAAATGTGCTGACACGATGGCGCTTCTCGCAACGATAGATACATCGCACGTTCCCTGCAAATTCTTCCGCCAGGGCGCGTGCCAGGCCGGCAATGCCTGCCCCTTCAGTCACGATCTCGGCACCGCGTCCGAGACGGTGTGCAAGTACTTTGCAAAGGTGCGTGGCAAAATCCCCGCACTCCCGGCGGCCCCGGGCCACCAGCCCGACCGCGAGAGCGTCGTCGCACCACTCGCAGATGATGGGATGATATGGGGTTGCCGGCCAGGTCTAGTGAGGTTGTACTGACTCGTTGTGCCACTTTGCGCAGGGCAACTGCAAATTCGGTCCTAAATGCGCCAATATCCACATGCTCCCCGACGGCCGCCGCATCAACTACGGCAAGAATGGCAACCTGACGATAGGATCGGCAGCGCCCGTCGCCCTCGGAGCTCGTGTGAACCTCACGACATACCATGCGCCCTCCAACAGCGCTCTCACCAACTCGTTCCTGCGTGCCGACGGCGTGCCGCCCTATACCACCACGAGCCCCTTCGATGAGCGATACGAGCACCAGCTGGGTCGCCAGCCGAGCATGGAGAATGGCCTGCCCACTATCGACACAACCTATACCTCGAACCCCGCGTCTGCCTACGGTTCTCCCCGCGACGAAGACATAAACCGCTTCGGTCTCGGTCTCTCCCCGGTGAACGCCAAGGGACTCTCGGTGTTGGATGCCCCGCTCCCCGCGTCCTTTGACAGCAACGGCATCTCACACGCAGCCCGCTATGGGCCGTGGCCTTCCTCAGTTCCCTCCAAGTTTGGCCTCGATTCACCCTCTCCCTCGCTCGGCGCCGCCAAGGATGGCCGCACGTCAGAGACTCTCAAGCTTCTACACGACTCGGCTTTCGGCGGCAGCGATCATCTGTCAACCTCGGCGATCGGCTCCGCCGAAATGAACGGCTTCGGAAGCAGCCCGCCCACCAGCTCTACAATGATGCACGGTATGGCGCTGGCCAACGACGAGTATTTTGGAAGGAAGGCAATGCATAGCAGCTCGCTGCGCTTCTCCAAGCCGCGGCTGCTGAGCAGCAGCGCGCCCAAGATCGACCGGGACTGGGAGGCCGGATTTCTCTTTGAGGAGGACTACGTTCCCGGCACGTTGGCGAACGAGGTGCTCACACCAGCCGAGAAGGCCAGGAGGGGTTCTACGACCAACACACTGCGGGCCGGAGACTTGGACCAGCCGACCGAGCCGGCTCCCATTGGGATGACAAAGTTTGGCAGCCCTGCCACAGCGGCCGCGAGCCCGAGCCGGTGGGGATCCTTCTTCCACCAGAGACAGCGGGACGAGGACGGGCTGGATGTGGGCAGCTCGAGTCACTCGCTCGGCTCCAGCCGGCCGGTGAAGCACGCGTCGGCATTCGGCCATGTCGGCAGCCCGCTGCGCAACTCGAGCCTGGCGAACGGCATCACAGCCGAACTCAACGGCGACTCGAATAGACCCGGATCGAGCCGACAGGGCAGCGGCAGCGGCAGCGAGTCACTCTCGGTGCTGACCCAGCAGCTGCAGCGAACACGGCTGGACGAGGCGCCCGGTCCCGGCTCGAGCCCCCACCTTCACCCTAACATGGTGCGCAACTCGAGCGGGGGCGGGCTAGGTTCGATTGGCGCGGGCATCATTGGCAAAGAGCGTGACAAGGAGCGCGGGTTAGAGCGACATGTCAGCAGCGGCTCGATTGGCTCGAGCGTGACGGGGCGCTTCACAACGCCCATCGACGAGGAGGACCCCGCATTCGTATTTAGCATGGAGGAGGAGGACGACGCCCAAGTACGGGCGAGGAAGCGCGCTTCGGGCGGCCATCTGGGTGCCTCGAGCCCGCTTAGTGCGGGATGGAGCTATGCCGCGGCGGTGGCCAGCAACCAAACCGGGGCTGCCGTCAATGGCGGCGGCGCGCGCAGTGGGGGTGCCGCTGTCGAGACAGTCGGGGGGAGATGAGCACTGCCGGTGCTTGGTTTAGAGTGTGGGCGGCGCCGTTTGTTTTCGGAAACAAAAACATTGCGGTGCCAAGACTTGGGAACGATGATTGCATGAGCCATGGCCAGGCGTATTTTGGGTCCTTTGCCTGATCAAGCGTTATATATACACAGATCAGATCTCCCCTCGACTTTTTTCTTCCCTTATCTTCCGTCCTCCGCACTGGGCTACCAGTTGACGGGGCACCACGTTGGCAGCCAGCGACATAGCATAAATCGGGCGCCCTCTCGTTTTTGCATGGGGGTGCGTCTCTTTCGTTTTGACCGCCCGCTTCACGGTGGGGGGCATGCACTGCATCTTGGACAATGTGGGCGGGCTGTTAAAGATAGATGTGGGGGGAGGGGGGGGAGGATTGGAGAATGGGGGGCCCGGGGAAGCAAAACAATGGGGTCCAGGGCAAAACGGGTTTTTGGTCATCTGAGGATAGGGAACACGGCGGGGGAAGGAAAAGAATTACCACCAAAAAAAGAAATACATTAGGGGGTGGGTTGGATTAGGGGAGTTGTTTTATTTGTTTGTCGGGGTGTTTTGTTAGGCCGGATTTTCTGATGAGGGCTGTTGCTAGTGTTCTACTTGTATAGCATCATTGGCAAGGGGTTGTCAAGAGGGGTTTTGCATCTGAGAGTGGCTGTGGATTAGTTTTGTTGGTTTACATTAAACATGACTACCCGCAAGTGTCCATGGCTGGCGTGTGACGTGATGGTTGTGAGGTTGTCTTGAGGCCTTGGCAGTCTTGCCAGGCTTGGCAGTGTCGGCGAAGATGAGGCTGTTGATGCTGTCGATGGTACTCGGCGTCTCGATGTTCGCAGGCCTTTCTTTGGGAAGAGGAAGGGCCCTTCGTAGCCTTGGGTAGGTCTTGGGAAGGCGACCCCGGCCTAGGCGGCGAGAGAGGTGTGATGGTAGGTGGACAACCGAGAAATCGAGAAGAACAGTCTCGGCCGCAATGTAGTCATCACACAGAAGATGCGCCGTGACACTATTTCAAGCCTGGTGTTGCCGTGGACTTTTATGAGGCTAGAGACAACGTCAAGACACCAGACGCTGAACGCTGCCGTGTGCATGTGGGCCGAGTGCCTAGAGACTCGCTCGTCTTTGATCCGAACCGTTTTGCCTGGGGAGGGGTTTATGCCCTGTCTGTTTTTCGGGGGGGGGCAAAAGCCGGGCGACCTGCTGGCAACCTGGTGGTGGCGGTGGCCGACCTTGTCTCGGGGGCCTGAGCGAGGTCCGACCCAGCCGACCCCCAGAGAGTTGCAACCTGGGCGGGGGAGTCATCAGCAGCCTCTGGCAGCCTCGCTCAGACACAGCAGCCGGTCAAGGCGCTGGGTTTCACGCAGGATAGAGTCAGTTGCCCGGCTGGCGCTGTTGTCTTGATCGTGTGGCACAATCTGCCCAACACCCCGAACCCAAACTCAACCAGTGTCCTAGCCTGCCGTCCGTCGGTGAGCGTGAGTCAAGCCCCCCATCGTTGGCGTGCAAGACATCACGGCCCCCCATATAGGGCAGCAATCCGTGGGGGCGCTGCTTCTGGCGAGCGAATGCAAGGCAGCCTCTGTGATCTCCTCGGCGGGACGTCCCCTGAGTTGACCCGGATGAACAAACGAGCTGACCCAAGCAGGCAGGCCAACCCTCAGCTCACCACCGCCACGTCCCCCCCTCGATCCGTGGTCGACTATGTCAGTCGGGATTTCCCTGCGTCTCGCCTCCTGGAGATCCACCACACCTCTACCACAGGCCCATCGCCGAGCCCCATCTACCCGCCCCTCCCCCCCCCCCCCAAACGCACGACAATTATCAATGCAGCAAACAAGGTAACGTAGACGAGCGGTTAAGGCGCCACGTCAGGGTGATCAAGCCTTGATACAATCTCTGGATTTCGTGGTCCGAAAAGGCGTGAGTTCGAATCTCACCGTTATCATGTAACATATCTTTCTGCTAACGGCGGGTGTTCCTAGTGCTGGCAGGACCGTGGCGGGCGAGCTCGGAAGGTGGACCACGTGGGAGATTGGCTGAGGATTTGTGATTCGGCGGGTGGGATGTTGGGCGAGAACTTTGTTAGCATGCGATGGCGACGTCCAAGACAGATCCTGTAGTAGATTGTTGTGGATTAGCAAAGGGAAACGCCCCGAGAACGTTGGACGCACAATGGGGAGGTAGCGCAGCACAAGTCCCTGATGCGACGGTCAACAGCTCCGACAAAAAGGGGCAGCAAAATCTATACATGGGCATCCCGCCGCGAAGCGGGACAATGTCTTTTAACCTCGAAATACGCTAGACGCAGACAGACGACCCAACACCTCTCCATTGGTTATATGGTTTGTATTCTCACACAATGGCAGCGAGCACCCACACCGATGCAGGCCGGCCCACGACAATATTACCCCCCCCCCCCCAACTCAAGTCGTCCGCCGTCTATAGAGACCAGGGAGTGGCGTGGTGTGCTGCGTTCATCTTCCGTAGTCATGATATGGTACAGGTAGCGTGGATATCCATCCATCCGTCTAGTTCGCATCGGGCTGGCTGACGATGTACTCGACCGCCTTCTCCACTGTTGCGGGCGTTAGCTTTTTCTCTCTGGCGGCAGGAATGTCACGTACCGCTGTGGATCGTGTCGGCGTCCTTATCCGGGATCTCAATGCTGAACTCCTGTGCCGCAACTCTGTTAGCGGTGCTCGGCGCATCGGGCGGTTCCGCCAGGGTGGAAACCCGTACCTCCTCAATCGCCATCACAACCTCCACAGTGTCGAGACTGTCGAGGCCGAGGTCGTTCGCAAAGTGTGCCGTCTCTGTGATCTGCGCGTGTGTCAGATACCTGCCTCGCGTCCACGACCCAGAAAACTCCCCATCAGCAGCGGTACTCACGTTGCTCGGATCGTTCACCTGCGAGAAGAATAAAGTTAGCCACAGACCTCCAAAAAGAAAAACCAAGTCATCGCCTCGCCAGCAACCCTCTCCCACTCCCTCTCTCTCTCCCCCCCCCCCCCCCCCAATTTCCCATCCCCGTACCACAACCCTTGGTCGGCAACTCAACAAAAAAAAAATCTCACCTTGTCAAATCCTGAAAGCAGCGCCTTGATCCGCTCGTAGACGTCCTTCTTATCAAGCCCGCCCGCAGCCGAGTAGCACCGGACAGCCTGCCACGCGGCGGCCCTGGGGGCAGCGGCGGCCCTCATCGAGACGCGGGGGGCCACGGCGCCGCCGATGGCGACTCGGGAGACGACGACGGGGCGGATGGCGGTGGTCGAGGCGCGCGCGGCCGAGCGGAGGATGTTGGTGCGGAACATGGTTGTTAGCTACTGCGGGAAAGGTTGTCGGCGAGGGGGTTGGAAAGAGGTGGTTTCAGGGCGGCAGAGGTTGTCGAGCTCGGAGGGGCGGGCGGATTGGGTGGTGGTTTGCGGAGGGCCGGATGGTGGTGATGATAAATTTCTCGCCAAACGTCGGGATCTGGCATTGGCAGGTAGGTTCCCCCAAAGCTCGAGGCAGAATGAGTGAGCTTTACTTGGTCTGTGCGGGTCACGTGGCCTGCGCTAGAGTCCCTGAGCTTGGGCCACTGATGATAGGGCACTGGCAGCTGTCCATCCAATTGAGTCAGGACCTGACAGGACCTGATGCAGTGCAAACACGAGGCCACCATATCGGGAAGGGTGAGAGATACGAATAGCGTGGTCAAAGTCGGTAGCAAATAACAAAAGGAGACTTTTTACGTCTTGGTGCAGACGCCGTATGTACACACAGCTCTATCTACAAATTCCATCATCTCCCGCCCCACGACCAAGACCCGCCCAACACCGGCACCCCTCGCATTTATCTGTAGGGAGCATCCGCCCGGATGGCCGCCGCCAACTCCGGCTCCCACTTGTCCCCATTGGACAGCAGTTTCTCTGGTCACCGTTAGCATCGCCGCCTTCTCTCTCTCACACACCATCTCTTGCGTGCACATACCCTTATTGTAGAGCAGCTCCTCGCGCGTCTCGGTGGCGTACTCGGCGTTGGGCGACTCAACAATGGCGTCGACGGGACACGACTCCTGGCAGAAGCCGCAGTAGATGCACTTGGTCATGTCGATGTCGTACCGCGTCGTCCGCCTCGACCCGTCGGCACGCTCCTCGGCCTCGATGGTGATGGCCTGCGCCGGGCAGATGGCCTCGCACAGCTTGCAGGCGATGCACCGCTCCTCGCCCGACGGGTATCGCCGCAGGGCATGCTCGCCGCGGAAGCGTGGCGAAATCGGACCCTAACAAACAACACACAATCAGCCTCCCATTCCATCCTTCCCCTCACTTTGGGGGAACCCGAAAGAAAAAAGAACAAAAAAAAAAAACACATACCTTCTCAAACGGATAGTAAATCGTAAATGGCGGCCGGAAGAACTGCTCCAGCAGCACGTACATGCCGCGGAACATCTCGGTCAGCAAGAAGTAGTTCCCGACTTTGTCCATGGTGCCCTCCTTCTCCTGGTCCCAGGCCACGGGCGGCTTGAGCCGGAAGCCCTTGGGCGGGGGGCCCGACGGCGTCGCATACGCGCGGGTCTGGGTCTGCTGGGCGACGGCGATTGTGCGGAGGAGGATGGACGCGGGGGTGCGCATGGCCAGGAGCTGGCGGGCGGCCATGGTCGTCGTGGCGGGCAGCATGTCGACGACGGATGGTATTTCGGAGGGGAGATTTCGGTTGTTGGATTGGTCTGTCGTGAGGGTTTTCGCTTCGAGGGCGAAACTCTCAATCGAGGGGGTCGGGGGACCAGCCGCGGCGGAGCGTGGAGAGACAGAGGGGTGGGGAAGGGGGGGGGGGGGCCAATTGAGGAGAGCGGAGGGGCAATCGTCCGCGGCGAGGGCGGTGGCGAGGTGGGAGCGAGGTTGAGGAGCTCCCCGGCGACAAGTTGACGTGATGGATCCCTGGAGCTTGGAGGCGAAAGCGTTCGGGATTTTGGGCCCATGGGTGACGGGATTACAACTCTCGGCCTGTGGTTGGCTGGGACCGCGAAGCTGTGGGCCGGGGCGTGATGCGGCACGTGACAACCCTCCCAGTCACCATCCCGGCCGGACATATCGCTAGAAAGTTGCATATCGATACGGATAAGCTCATCGTTGCACCAATGATCAGGACGCCCAGCTTATCACAGCAAAGAGATGGCTGCTAGTGAAAGCAACTCCGGGTTATTTATCATCACCAGCACCAACAAAGGCACAAATAACCAGGCCTCGAAGCCACCTGCTAACTACTCCTGTGACAACAAACCCTGCGACATGCGTTCGCTCCAAGTCCCCTAAAATGTCCTCTCCCACGTCGTCCACCAAATCCCCACATTCGCCGCAACCACCAAATCCAACATCTTGAGCCCCTCGTCGTGGATAATCAGCTTCCCCAGCTTGGCCCTGTTCCCCCTCGTCCCACCGCCCATCTCCTCCCGCCCAATGCTCAAGTCCATCGGCTCATCATCCTCCAAGTCCTCATCATCACTGCTCCCCTTATCCAGATGCTGCACCACCTTCCTAAACCCCCCCTGCAGCTTCCCCTGCAGGTGGTGGTGATCCCAGCGGCCCCTGCCGCTCTCCTCCACCGCCGCCTTGGGCAGCAGCGGCGGCGTCTTGAGCGTGTCCGAGGTCCCGGGCAGGTTGAACCGCAGCTCGCTGACCGGCTTGGCGCCCACCAGCGCGGCCGTGACCTCGTCGCCGCGGGACCGCCGCCCCGTGGCCTGCGCGTCGCGGAGGTGCTGCGCGACCGCCACCGGGTTGAACCGCGGGCTCTTGGGGTCGAGGATGTGCTGGCACTTGAGGCTGCGGCCGCTGGCGCTGGTGCGGAACTCGCACCGGCCGTCCCACGGGCTGACGAAGACGTAGCCCTTGGGGCGCAGCCCCGGCCCCGGCGTGGTGATGGGCGAGGGCGGGGACGAGTCGCGCCCGGCCTCGCCGCTGTCGCGCCGCTGCTGACCCAAGTCGAGGGAGCCGACCGCCGAGGCGCTGCCGGCGCGCTGGTGCTGGAACGGCCGTTTCGGCGGTGCGAGGTCCTCCGTGGGCGAGAAGGGGTCGCCGCCCTCGCCGGCCGACGAGGTCGCGCGGTCGCGCCGGTGGAAGGCGTGCTTGATGTTGGACGTCCACGTCTTGGAGTAGGCCATGACCACCTGCCGGGCGAACCTGTGCTCGGCGCTGTCGTGACCCCCCTTGGGGCCCGGCACCGTGCCGCCGCCCGACCCCCCCAGGCCCTTCATCGTCTGCGCGAACGAGTGGCCGGACCCGGGCCGGAAGGCCTCGACGGCCGCGAGGCTCGGCATGCCGCGGTACTTGGCGTAGCCCGAGGTGTCGAGGCGGATGTCGATCTTGTGCGGCCGCGGCAGCGCGCCCATGTCGTCGGGGTTGAGGCTCGGGTCGGCGAGGTCGGGGGTTGGGATGTTGGTCTGGAAGGAGGTGACTTTGCCAATGTTCCACTGCCCGCCCGTCGTGGCGTCGCGGCGGATCAGGGTGAGGGAGAAGGGGTAGAAGGAGGCGCGTCGAGCGGTGGGCTTGCTGGGTGAGAATCCACCATGGGAGTTTATGGCGCGGATCGGCGAGCCGACGCGGGCGGGCTCCGTGAGGTGAGGGCCGGGTTGGGTTGGGGTGAGCGGGCGGTCCCCTGCCCCTGGCGTCACCAGGGTGCTCTGGGGCCTAGGACCAAGCGGTCTCCGTGCGACCAGGCCGCTTGCCGCCGGCGGGGGTCTGCTTTGTGGCCGGGGCGGCAACTCGGGGGCGTCCGGGGTCGGAGCGGGACCCTGGTCTCGGAACATGGGGTTCGGCCGGGACATCTCAATCGGGGACTGGACAGGCGGGACCCCCCTGTCGAGGGTCACGGGCTCGGGCACCCTCACGGCGACAGGCTGGGTTATGGGGGCGGCACCATCAGGCGTAGCATTCTCGGGCTTTGGGGGCAGCCTCGAAGACGAGGGCA